CTTTTATTTTTTAATACTCAGACTAGTTTGGTGCAGAGTAATCGTTTAGCATACCCTCAATAAAATATTTTACTCTGTAATAATCGATCTGGAGTCTATGAATTTGTAAGAGATAAGATGAGCTTTGGGTTAGCTGTTTAGAAAGGAAAAATCATTTGTGTCAAGAAAAGAAATTCTGTTGTAACAAAATGGCGAACCTAAAAATAATCTTCCAGGATGTTAAACTTTTTATCAGTAAAATGAGAATTTTGAGCCAGCTTTTCCATGAATTGACTCTGTGTGAAAGGTAGGAGTAAGCTTTTGAGAGGATACATTTTAATCTAAAGAATGGAAGGATTATGAAGTTGTCATTGAAATTGTTGGCCTATTAAAAAGTTAATCTGATATGGCCTAAAAATTAAATGCCTCAAAAAAAAATACATTTTCTTGCATTGTTCAACTGAAAATAGCAGAAAACCCAGTGTTGAGTTAAATTTGCATAGTTATTGTCAATTTTTCATCATAATTTTTTTCTCCATTCCTCATTTCTTCAGTGGCTTCCCTTGGTGGCTCAGTGATAAAGAATCCTCATGGCAATCCAGGAGACTTGGGTTCGATCCCTGAGTCAGGAAGATGTCCTGGAAAAGGAAATGGCGACTCACTCCAGTATTCTTTTTCAGTACAGACAGAGGAGCCTAGTTGGGGTACAGTCCATGGGGTCGCCAAATGTCAGGACAGGACTTAGTGACTAAATCACGGCAGTTTTTTCAGTACTCACTTACCTGTGTCCTTTTCCTTTAAGATGTGAATTCCTTGAACTGAGGGGGCCTGTCATATTCATAGGAGATGTAGGACAGCGCTGTATGGCACTGTTAACATAACGTTTCAGTATATTTTTAATAACGTAATGTATTATGGGCCAATACTTTTTATTCTTGCTCTTTCCCTAGGCTGTGAAATACAATGAATGTGGAGGAATACAAAAACCTCTTGCCTAAGTTTATTGCTCTCTCCCTCAAGAACACTTGGTAAGCACTAGTCTGGTTACTGGAGTGTAAAGACAAGTTTCTGGCGGTCTCTAGAGGCCTGAAAAGGGTGGAAACTTAGTAAGAGGATGGAATCTCCGACCCCCGACCGGAATCACCTCCCTAGTAAGGGAAGGTTGTCCGTATCCAGGGTTTCACAAGGAATATCTTTTACCTATCCTAAGTATCTGTAATAATACTATTATCTGCATTTTAAACTTTGCTCTTAATAACACCATGAAGTAGATTCTGTTCAGCTCTTTAATAGATACTGAAATGACTCACGGAGATGTTAGGTAACTTGCTCAAGGTCACACAGTTAGGTTTCTTAGTAGGAAGCCAGATTATATTAGTTTGGTTACAGAGCCTATCTTCTCAATCACTGTTCTGTTAGTGTGTCTCCAAGGTAAAAATCTCTGGGGATTATTATGCTTAGAAGTCTAAGTCTTAGACTCAAGGACTAAAGCAGCTTGCTCAAAGACACAGCTTTGTCTTTGGAATCTGAGCTCCAGGTAGGCCGACTGCTGAGCCCATAGTTTTAACTGTCATTCACTATCATTGTTTTATATACTGTCAACTTACACATTTAAGTTGCTCTCCCACTAGAGGCACAAAGTTCATTGTGTTGCGCTTTAATACCACCATGTTTACTGGTCAAAATACGTGAATCCCACCCCCATTGTCTTTTCTGTTTTTGCCACTCTATTCCAGAGTCTTATGACATAATAGAATTTATTTCAGTGAAATTATTTACAGATGGAAGATACTGGAGGAAGCAATATGTATGTAATAGCCCCTGCCTTCAAGGAGCTTGCTTTCTGTTTGGGAAAAACCAAAGTATGGAATTTGACCTAGAGCAAGAAAACAGGGTGTACCTGCCTAGGTCTAAATAGGTAAACTTACATACTGGAGACTTTACCAAGCTAAAATTGTCCATATAAAAAGAGATTTTGTTTGGGGGGCGAGGCCCCCGACAGTGACAGTATATTGTTACTAGAGTGGTTTCATGCATGTCAGAATACTTGGATGTCTTTAATTTGACTTAAAATCATTTATATTTTTTAAAATAATTAAGTGAAATTTTAGCACATTTTAGTATTTTAATACAGTTATGTTAGGGTTATAGGTTTTTTCATAAATTGATAATGGAGTTTGTTGTTAAATTCTGGCTTTCTTGTTTATATTATGCTGGATTTCTTTCTTTCTTTTTTTTTTTTTTTAATGTTGTGATAAGTCAGCTGATTTAAGTGTGTGAAGGAACACTAGCCCTGAAGTACCTATTTTAAAATAACTTATTTGGGACTATTATTGCGGTAAATAGTATGTTCCTTTGTTACCTAAACTTTTCACAATCATTTAGATTATTTGTCTTCTAATATCACATTCGTAGTCTGGTATTATAGATTGCAGAACTCTTAGATGAGAGTGTATGCGTACAGTCAGTGGAAGCAGAGTAGATTAGAAAGAGCATGTGTTTGCAATTAGGTACAACTTTACTAATTTGCCAACTATGGATGTAATAATTTCTTAAGTCTATTTTTTCTCTCTACATATGGGAATGTAGCAAGGCCATTGTGAATATTAAATGAGAATGTAACATTTAGCACATCACAAATGTTTAAGAATAGCTATTATGTTTATTAATAAAAATGCTGGTTGACAGATGAAAGAACAAAGATTGAGGAGGAATCATAGTATTTTCTTTGTCATTTTTCTGTGGGAAAAGAACCCCATCCTTGAGTAAACCAGGAAACGGGGAGGAAACAGAGAAAGCCAACTCTAAATTGGTTGTTTTTGACTTATTCGTAGCTTCAGGATAATTACTTTTATAGGGAGGCAGAAGGTTCTTTACTTTGTGTTAACCCTTTACCTTTTTGACATGTAGATAATTCACTACCAAGGACTTGAAACAATAGATTTATGTAGCTATTTAACAGATTTTAAGGCTTTGTTCCACATCCAGATGGGAAGACAGTATAGTTTCTTTTGTGAAATTCAAGTGATTAGTAAAATTTTACAATTAGAATTTCTCCGATATGGAATTTTCATTTTTCTCTTTCAAAATATGATTTGGTTGACTAAATTTAACAACTCAGAAATTGTTAGTGAATCTTAAATTTCTTTTGTTTAAACTTTACATTCTTGAAAGTAACATACATCTAGTAGATTAAAAATGGTCTTGAGAAAATAGGAAGAAAACCTTGGGTGTATGGTATTTATAGTCTTATAAAATGCTCCTCCATCTCTAGTTCTCTTTTATGGGTTCACTGCAGACATTCTCACTGCAGCTGTCACTGTAGGGTTAAACATTTGCTATGTTGTAACACACGAAAGCAGTTAAACTGTTTGGAATTGTGTACTTGCTAAAACCAGTGTCAGCCAGCAGAGGCAGTACACCAGATTTCCTTGTGGCTTTTAGTGGAAAATGTTAAAAGCGCACTCATTTTTCAGTTATAGAATTTTTTGGTTTGATCTGGATTAGTCACAGAACTGGCATGAACCTTCTAATTGTGAAGGCTGTCCAAGTGCACTACTCTTTTCTCCTGCTAGAGGAAGTTACATCCGGAGCAGTAGCTCAGCTCTCTGGTAAGTGTAACATGTGAGCATTGCTAGGCATTTCATCCTGCGGTTCTGCAGTCCTTGCTCTTCAGACTGTTGCTCAGTTGGAATGCTTCTGTGGGGCCGATCCTGAGGTTCTCTTTTTTTAAGGACCTACTACTCATTTGGAGGTGTCACTGGCGGTTTGCAAGATCATATGAGGAACAGGAAAGCACCTGAAATTGACTGGAAAGGAAAACTGTAGCGGTTTTCACAGTGGAAGGAAACTATATTGGCACGGAGGCAGATGATTGAATAAAGTAGTTGGCTCAGAGAAGATGCACAGTCTGCTGTTTTTTCCTCTGAATGAAGACTCTTTGATGGAAGCTGCATTCATGTGGAGATCAAAGAAAACACTGGAATGATAAACTACTGGAGTTCTCTCCCTCTCTTTTTTAAAAATGAAAAGCCTGAAGCCGTAATTTGAGCTCAAATGCCTTCTAGCCTGCCTGCTCCATTAGGATTCTCCGCTAACACCATTTCTGCTTGGTGCCTGTGCCCTTTTGCTGGAGCAGCCACAGACCACTGCCTGATGGAAGAAGAATGAACACTCTGCCTTTCCTGTGCTGTCGATGGGAATTAAGCTAATTGTTTCTTTTCTTATATGGAATATCTGGATTAATCAAACTGTATTCTAGTACCAAGAGTCCTATTGTCTCTTGTGGTCTGACTCATTGCATGTAAATGTACTGCAGCTTTGCTATTAATGCAGACTGTTGTTTTTTTTTTCCTCAAACACAGAAAGAATTGTCAACCTCTGAGCAACATTTTGAGAGCTCTAGCTGCATTTTTTTTTTTCTGGATAGTATCTGTATTAAACCAGCGAAGCTGAAGAAGTGAAGACAAATTAGAAGTGGAAACCGAATAGTGAGATTTCATATTTTATTTTCAGTGATAAGCAAGCCAGCTGCTGGTAACTGTGACACTGCAGGCAGGAGTGGGTATAGCTGTAATCATCTGTCTCAGCACTTGTTTCTCGTCTTATTCCGTTGTGTGTGGTGCTATCACCCAAACAGTGATCTTTTTATGCAAGTGAATTTCTGTAAAACAGAGTAGTAATATGACTATTTTGGTAGCAGAAAAATATTTTTAAATGAACTTGTTCCAGACTCAGTTTTAATTCTTGACATGTTGATGTGAAATTTCTTTTAAGTTTTACAGTAACCAGACAGAAAAATAATAGAATTTGGGATTTTATTTTTTTCCTTAGGAAGTTATGTAGTTATAATTTTAAGCTTTAGTTTTTCTCATAGTACTTATTAACTTAAAAAAAAAAACCAGCTGTGCTTTTCAAAGAATGATTCTGAGTGCTGTACAGAAGAGGAGGAAAAACTACTTGTGCTCTTCCTACTGTGACTTTTATCACATAGCTTAGAATTCAGTTTTTTAAAAGAACGAATGAGTCGAGTGTGTATTGTTGTTTTGGAGGAGGTAGAAGGTGAGTCTCCTGCATTCATTTCTAAATTGCCACAGGAAAATAAATCCCTACATTCTCCACCTTCGGGAAATGTATTAGTAAGATACAAGAGTTTATATGTTTACTATCTTTTACTGAACTAGCAGGGTAAATTTTATTTTTTAAGAATAAATGCAAGTTAATTTCCACTAGTTTCATGGAAAACCCAAGTGAAAGCAATATAGGTGTGTGAGTATGATGCAATATTACTGTGTATAAATACACACATTTCCTATTTTCAGTTTTTCAGATGTTTAGATAACATTTCAGACTTTATTTTCAGATGTTTAGATAACATTTCAGACTTTATCTCTTAATCTCTTACAATGAGTTTAAAAAATAATTCGAGGAGAGTAGGCTACAGCACCCATATTTCAGTTTTTACTTTGTGGTTTTAGACACTGATGTAGCAAGTATGAGGAACTGTATGTTTTAGCAAAGTTGACTGTTGCCAGCAACACGGAGGTACAGCCTTCTCTGTAGTGAATTTTATATATTTACATGCAGGGCTGTTACAGAAAAAGAATCAGACTTCATCTTTAGTTTTATGTTTAAAACTTTGTCATTTAACTTTTTGTTTGAGAATATAATGTGATACCTTATCAGAGAGGCTATATCGTTGATTAAGAACTTGTTATATTTAGACACGCATGTGTCTGCCTCTTCATGTTACTCAGATTTACAGTAACTTTTGGTCTTTGAAAAGCAGTGATTCCATCAACTGTCAGGTTTCCTTTGGATTTTTATCTTTACACATGTAATGCTAACTCATGCGCATTATCCGGGCACCCGAGACGGAGCTGTTCAGAGGCCCTCCTCTGGGCTCCTGGTCACGCTGCTTGTTTGACGAGTTGTGTCCTGCAAGGATGTATTGAGATGTCTCACTTGTATTTATTTGGAAGATACTTTCTTTTTACCATCTGTATAAACAAAAGGTTTCCACTCGTGTAAAATCTAATTATGCTTATTATACTACCTAATTTTGGTCATAAGGAATTGATTTTTTTTTTTAAATTAGGCCTACTCTTTTTTCCAAGGAGGAATCTTGTACTTTCATATGATTTGACTTCATGAAACTTGGTTCATGTCAAAAGCCAAGTGATTATTGTTGTGATAGGGAAGAAAAATTTTAGATTTAAAAGTTATGTGGAAATAGCTTTAGAATCATGCATGTGGTGTGATTAACGTTTTTATTACTCTCTTGTATTTTAGCCCTCACTGGTGCGAGCTATATTTAATGGAGAGCCTGATGAAGTTCGAGCACTAATATTTAAGAAAGAAGATGTTAACTTTCAGGTAAAACAGTTTCACTGATACCAGCCTTGAAGTGTACTTTGCTAGAGTTGATGATTTTTGTTAAAAGACGTAACACAATTCTGTAAGTTTTTTTAAAGCAAAGGTAGAAAGGTCTTGAGGCAAAAAGGAAAGGACTGGACGTGTATATTCAGGGTAATTACTGAAACCTAGGACAGCTAGGAGTCAGTGAAGGGTTTTTGTTCCCCCAACCTTTTACTTTGAAATTTTTCACAGAAAAGTTGAACAACTTCTTTGAATACCCATATAACCTCCAGCGTTGATAACTTTTGCCATATCTGCTTTCTCTCCAATATTTACACGTTATATTTATACCTCACATTTATTTATTCCTTTCTTTTTCTGAATCCCATTTGAAAGTAAGTTATAGACATCATGACACTTCACTGTTAAATATTGAGATGAGAATTCTTTTTTGTGAACTTAAAATAAGAGACATGTCTTAAATTTATAATATATCCAACTTGGTTCTGAGGTCAAATTTGCTTCCTGTAAGTAATCATGGTAAACATTATGCACAAAGATGCATCTGTTTGGGTGTCACAGTAAATAAAAACATTGTTTGAAAGTTCTTCAGACTTTTAAAGATACAGTGGATTTAACATTCAGGACTGACATGAGGGACAGTTTTGGAAAGAGTGGGTATGTAGATAATTCTGTGTATGTTTCTCCAGTGGCGAAACTTTTTAATTTACTAAGCTGAGGTGGGTGAAAATATATAATTAACTGTAATACAGTCAAATTTTTTACTGTATATATTTTTAGTGGAAGTTAATCTTTTCAGTATCTTTTTCATATGTGATTCAGTTCTCTAAATGATGGAGAGTAGGGAGAAGTTGTGATTCATAAGGTCCCTATAGCAACAGCAAAACAGATGACCTGGAATTGATTGGCCAGTTCTAAGAAAGCCGTGTTCTGCCAGCTCATCTCCAGCTCTCATCTTTCCCCTGTTCTTTTGGACAGTGCTATCGTGACCACTTGATGTTAAGTAGATATAAGAAGTATCTTATTTTTAAAGGTTGAGTTAACTGAGTAAATTTGAATCTTTAGCTGAAATGATTCATCCTCACATTCTAAAATGTAACCAAAATGCTGTCATTACATTTTTTCCTTACACATTGTGTTTAAGTTTATATTTATTGGAAACATTTACCTCACTCAGGATTTATTTTCAATGAAGTGCTGGTTACTTTATATAATTGGGGTGTCCGGGAGCGTATACTCAAGACAAAATAATTGTAGGGATATAGACTTAGGAGAAGGAGAAAAAGGCATTCTGTTGTATTTAACATACTGTTTTTTGTTTGTTTTAAACAGAACTAACAAATCTCATCTTGTTGAGGAAGTTTGGTCTATAATCCTACTAACCATGGTTAATATCTCTATAAAGCCTTGTCATAGCCAACTGCTTTTCTGTTATAATCTTAAATTTGAAAAGTTTTATGCTCAAAAGATTGTTTTTGAGAATCATTTTATTCCACTGTGATGTCCTTAGAAATTGTTCGGTGTCTGTAACTAGTGTGTGACCTCTTAACTTTTATGACTTTTAGTCTCTGCACAATAACTGTGTGTTCCCTTTCTGGTTTGTGAAGTACTCCTCTCAGCTCCTTCTCATGCATCCGCACCCTCAACAAGGTTTGTTTCTCTAACTGTCTCTCATGTCTCTGTTATCTCTTAGTCGTCCAGAGAGGATCTGAGTCTGACTCTCATCAAAGATTCATCCAACCTCCTTCCAACTGCTTAGTTTGATTCAGTCCTCTCTATACTCTCAAAGGTCACCTGTCTTCCAGTTCAGTTCAGTCACTGAGTCGTGTCCGACTCTTTGCGACCCCAAGAATTGCAGCATGCCAGGCCTCCCTGTCCATCACCAACTCCCGGAGTTTACTCACACTCATGCCCATCGAGTCGGTGATGCCATCCAGCCATTTCATCCTCTGTTGTCCCCTTTTCCTCCTGCCCCTAATCCCTCCCAGCATCAGGGTCTTTTCCAGTGAGTCAACTCTTCGCATGAGGTGGCCAAAGTACTGGAGTTTCAGCTTCAGTATCAGTGCTTCCAGTGAACACCCAGGACTGATCTCCTTCAGGATGGACTGGTTGGATCTCCTTGCAGTCCAAGGGACTCTCAAGAGTCTTCTCCAACACCATAGTTCGAAAGCATCAATTTTTAGGCGCTCAGCTTTCTTCACAGTCCAACTCTCACATGCTTACATGACCACTGGAAAAACCATAACCTTTACCAGATGGACCTTTGTTGGCAAAGTAATGCCTCTGCTTTTTAATATGCTATCCAGGTATATCATAACTTTCCTTCCAAGGAGTAAGTGCCTTTTAATTTCATGGCTGCAATCACCATCTGCAGTGATTTTGGAGCCCCCCAGAAATAAAGTCTGACACTGTTTCCACTGTCTCCCCATCTAATTCCCATGAGGTGATGATACCAGATGCCATGATCTTAGTTTTCTGAATGTTAAGCTTTAAGCCAACTTTTGCACTCTCCTCTTTCACTTTCATCAAGAGGCTTTTTAGTTCCTCTTCACTTTCTGCCATCAGGGTGGTGTCATCTGCATATCTGAGGTTATTGATATTTCTCCTGTCTTACCACCTCCAATCCTGTTTTATCACATGCTCCTCAGTTTCTGGAAATTCATCCTCCCTTTCCTGCTACACAGATCGAACCTCCTCACCCACCTTTCCAATGCTCCTGTCTTCTAGTCCCTCTTTCTTCTGCAACATCACTTCCTACAGCTCCCTCTGCAAATCCTCCTAGGCTCAGGCTGGCGCCTTTCTGACCCCAGCCCTGTACCAGGAGCCTCTGTGAGCTTCCAGAGCTTTGTCCAAAAGCACTTCTCTCAGTCTGGTGTGCCCTTCATATTTACACCAGGCAAACTTCATTAATCATGAATCATCATATTTTAGGACACTTCATCAGATTTCATGATAATTCACACTGGGCTGAAGGGTAAATCCTTGTACAAAATTTGGTGGTTAAAAGAACTGGTCAAAACTATGTATCCCCTTATTCCCCAATGTTATTTTGAATCAATGTCTAGGATTGTTTTTTAATGATCATTGTGTAATTTCATCATCTAAATTTATTTGTCTTTTCTTGAGAATGGGTTTTATTAAACCTATGCTTTGAATATTCTTTGGATTCACAGACTATAAAATAAACAAACATTTTATCAAACATCAACCATAGTGCCCAATTTTGTTAGTGTGGCGAAAAGCCTCCAATAGAAGATCAAGTTGTAATTTAAAACCCAAGTGTTTGTGTTGTCTCTGCAGGGTTTCTCCTTGTACAGAGAGGACAGGGTAGACCTGACTACTCGTATCCACATGGCTCCATAATAGCTATTCACACTCTTCTCAGGTTATCATGAAAATCAAGACGCAGGAATGATCCCTGTATAGTTAGATATTCTATTCATTCATCTGAATCCATCTGTGGGGATTTGGCCTTTCCTGGCCCATTGTGAACAATGGACTCCCAGGACTGGGCCATATCACACACTCACAAACATCTCAGACACAGATCTGAGTCACGTGTCTGAGCCTCACTCATCCTCTTCACGGGAACCCACACCCAGCGGTCACTGTTTCTGAGATAGAGCTCCACAGTTTTCAATGGCTTCAGCACAGCCAAATTCAAGGCCTACCTGGACCCGTCGTGACAGCAGGTGACCTGGGGGCAGGACTGGGGAGCGGCGTGGACTCTCACCCTGGCTGATCCCCAGAGAGAGCCCCGTGGAGCTGTGGCTCCACCTGGAGGGGCCGGGGAGCCGCCGGCTCTGCCCTTGGGACACAGTGCACAGAGGGACTGGGAGCTGGCACGTCTGAGTGAGGGACCACAGGGGTTCTCTGCAGCCCTCTGGCAACTTTCTCTTCAAGATTAAGATAGTTGCCAATCATTTGGTTAGGGCAAAGAGAAAAATGTGAGCAACATCCTCTCTGAGTCACTGATGGTCCGACTGCTGAGAGGAGAGGACACAGCCTGAGCCAGGGTTTCGGGCCCAGGAGAGGTCAGTGTCCCACTTGCCAGTGGCCAGGAGTCTGGGCCCAGTGAAGGGACCCGCTGATCATCAGTGCCCACGGCTCCGCCGTGAGACACCACAGCTACCTGAAAGGGTGCCTGGGAGGGCTGAAGGGGTTATAGTGCACTAGGAGCTTGCTTAGGAAGGAGCATGTGGACAGCAGGTGCACAATAACTGTGTGTTCCCTTTCTGGTTTGTGAACTACTGTGATCCTGAGAATGCCTTTGCTTCTCTGCTTCTCAGGGAAGAATGAGAAATAAGAAAGAAACTGCTTCCAAGGTGAGAAGGCAACTGATTGACAGACAACTTTTATATGCCCAATATTATTTTAAAAGGAGTCAGATAAATTCTGGTACATAATGGAGAGCATGGATTGTGGTAAGACAAGTTCAACCATAAGCTGGTAACTGTAGACCATGCCTGACAAAGACGGGACTGTTCTGTTATGTCTACTTTTGTGTATTATTGAAATTTCGGATTTGAAAAAGAATGATAGGAGAACACAGGTCCACCTAGAATAATAGCAGCTGAATCTCTCAACATACAATTCCAAGGCTAGGAACTCACAGAGAGCGTCAAGGACACCATTCAAAACCCTGCTCCAAACAACCAGGGGCCAGAGACCACTGTGGCCGTGACTTGGTTTGTATTCAGCTAGGTCTGCGAGCCACACAGCAGCGGAGGGGTCAACAAAGACCCTGCATATAGAGGAGAGCACGGCAGGGAGGAGGACTCCGCACAGAACTCGGGTAAAATAACTCACAGAAAGAGCATGTGGGTGAACTCAGAGGATGTCTGAGACATGGTTGGCCCTAGCTCTGGCGACTGGGGAATTGATAGGAAAGAGTTCACCAGTGTAGAGGACCAGAGGGTGACAGTCTTGAGAGGGTATAATTACTGGGATCAGGTTTGAGACCAAGCTGAAGGGAGCATCCTTTGAACACTTGTGAT